ATTATATATTATGTGTTTAACAGGTTGTAAGTTTGATACGTGTTGGATATGTTATTTTCAATTATATTTTCAATTAATAACTTCAAAATATGTTAGCTATCACATAATGTTTTGATTTCTTATCACAATATGAAATGCTCATATTGTTAAGCCTCTTTGACAGAACATACATCGCCCATTTAAAATGTGTCCATAATATCCTGTCTAGTTTTTTCTTTATTAAATTGACACAATGCCACACAAAAATGTAACAGAAGCGTCCCGGCCCACACTCCTGTCAACGCATTTCCGACGTATCAATAACACATATTAACCATCAAACCGCTTTTGTGCCCCGTGACGCATGAAGTTAATAAAATCTTAAACCAGCTTGCCGCCTGTGTCGTTGGGTTGTCTGTGTCTGGATATGTGTCAGTTGGGCATGTTGGCGGGTCTCTCCCAGCCTTAGTTGCCAGTGTTGCTAAAATTCAAAATATTATCCGTTTTCGTTTTTTTTTTGTTGTAAACTAGGCAATATTGAAATTTTGTCGTTGTACGTGTTCATTGAATTATGAAATTGAAAACTGTTCAGTGACTTTGCAAATTATTTTGGTTGTTTAGGATTTTCACGAGAATTTCGAAATTTTTTGCAATAACAGTTTGTTACCATAGTTCGATTTCATAGATACACAATATGTTTAGAATTTTCAGGAGTCATTTTTTTTTTGGTTGTTGTACCAGCGAAATTTCAAAATGAATTAAAATAGTTTGGGAATTAGTTTACCCAAAATTTTTTGCCTTCACACAAAGTTTCAGTGCCGAAAATATAGGAATTTGGTAATTAAAAACTTTCAATTACGGTGGTTAATTTAAATTAACTAAACAATTCGTATTAAAACTCAAAGTGTTTTGGAATTTTAATTTGTTTATTTTTTTCTTTTTTTTCTAACCGGCTCCAATAAATTTCAAGCTGTTACGTTATTTTCTTCACATTTTTATTAATGATATTCTGTACATGAAATACTTTTACTTATACTATATATATAGTATTTTTTATTCTTGTATTGTCAGCAATTTATATTCCAAGTAGAAATGGCAAGTTAGAAATGGTGTCACGTTTAATTTTACTTAAGTTTTTCTCTTATTCCATTCAATTTTTCAGACAAGCGTTTCCTTATTTCATATTGGGTATAAATATATATTTAAGGATAGTTCGGTTGACCTCATACTTCTTTAAATGCAGAACAATATTTTTGTTGAAATGTTGAACTTAAAACTAAATTTAATTTTTTGCTTGTTTTCTCGAATGAACGTTTCTAGTGCAAATGCAGATAATATGCAGATGTGCAGCTTTTGCTGGGCATAAATTGACCACAGAAATCTGTTTGCATATCCTCCTTTAAAGTATTACTTGATTTCAAATTTGAGAAATTAGTTTTCTTATATTCGGAATGCCAAACTAAACTTTAAATAGCATATAAAATAGTACAAAATAGTTTGAAGTGAAAAATATAGAAATACTTACTAAGAAATTGGCAGGTTTTGGTATATCCAAACACTGAACTGATATTTTTTTGCTATATATTAGCTTATGCTTACATAGCTGATACGCTTAGCAATATCCTAAATTGAAATTTGCACAGGATGCAAGCCGAATTCGACTGGGTATAGTATATCCTAATGAGGAACTTATATTTTTCTACTATATATGACCTACTTTAATTTGAAATGAAATACTTGACACATATTCCAAATAAAAAAATTCGTTTAGGTTGCAGTGGGAATATGTCTGGATTATGATATTAAAGGCTTGATTATGATCAAGCGTTATAGTCTGTTGCGGTTAGTATGTATCATAGCCATTTAGGTTCTGATTATCACACCATTAATGGTTCTGATAGACATATATCAGCAATGGATCTTATGTCTAGTTAAATTAGGTTTTTTAGATTGACTTTGATTAAAAGTTTTGATATGTTTTGGATGCAGTCAAATATTCTCTCATAAAACGGATAATGTGAAACGTATCTGACTTATGAAGGCTCAGTGTAGTTTTACTGGAATAAGTGGTCGATTAATTAGTTCTTAAGCCACGAAATCACTTAAAAATCAAAGTCATGTCTAATAAAATTTTGTCTTTTTAGAAAAATTTATATATGCCTTGATATTATTTGGAATTTTTGTAATTAAAATATTTTAATGATTATAAATTTGTATATACATTAAGACTGAAAAGTTTTCGGAAATTCTCATTTAAAATTCGCGCGCTGTATATTTTTCGATATTTTAAGTTTATGTAGTTTGGCAGCACTGTCCTTAATTACTATGCCAAAAATGAGCGCGATCTGTCAGACAGTTCGTTTACGGCAGCTGTTGAAACCAGTTCCCCTCAGTAGTGCGTTGCGAAATGTCTTCGACGGTCGTACGACCGTCCTGAAAGGCTTTGTACCACTCATAAACTTGAGTTTTCGATAAAACTGATTCCCCATAAGCCTTTTGTAGCATTCGCAACGATTCTGCACACGAAATTTCGTTCGAAACACAAAATTTGATGCAAACTCTTTGTCCAATATTTTTTTCCATTGTTTTTTTCGCAACGCACTACTGAGGTGAACTGGTTTCAACAGCTGCCGTAAACGAACTGTCTGACAGATCGCGCTCATTTTTGGCATAGTAATTAAGGACAGTGCTGCCAAACTACATAAACTTAAAATATCGGAAAATATACAGCGCGCGAATTTTAAATGAGAATTTCCGAAAGCTTTTCGTCATTAATATATACAAGGTGAGATGAAAAAACTGCAACCAACTTCAGACTGCTGTCATTTCTAAACCGCTCGTCCCACAGCTGTCAGATTTATTCTAGTGACAGCTCATTATATTGTTTACAAGCGCACAAAAGCATTTTGGTGGGAATTTTTCAAAAAAAAAGTTATTTGTGATGGAATTCAAGCGTGATAGTGTGATTGCTTTGCATTTGGCTGGAAAACCACAAGTGGCTATCGTTAGAGCCCTCCAGCATTTAGAAGTGAATAAATGTTTTGTGTCTCGTACCATCGCTCGTTACCATGATACTGGTAGCGTAGCCCGACGTCAAGGAAGTGGACGAAAAAAAACAGCAACATCGGCAGAAATGGTTCGAAAAGTGAAAAAGCGAATTGAACGAAATCCGCGTCGCAGTGGACGAAAAATGGCTCGTGAGCTGAACATATCGCAATATGCCATTCGGCAAATATTGAAAAATGAGCTTGGACTAAAGCCATTCAAGTTCCAAAAAGTGCAAGATCTTACTGATGCGCAAAAAAAAGTTAGACTCGAAAAAGCTAAAGAGTTGTTTCGCTTGGCCGAAAGTGGTGAACTGCCGAATTTGGTTTTCTCCGATGAGAAACCATTCGTTATCCAGCAGTTTGTAAACAAACAAAATGATCGTGTTTACTTGCCAGAGAGGTCAGCTGAAAATTTGCAACTTCGGTTGGCCATCACAACTCAAAAGCCGGCCATGGTGATGGTGTGGGCCGCCATAACAGCCGATGGTCGCTCGCCGCTCGTATTCATCGACCGTGGTGTCAAATTAAATGCGCAAATCTATCGCGAAAATATTTTGGAGGGAGTTCTGAAGCCCTGGGCACGCAAACATTTCGGCCGCAGACCTTGGACATTCCAACAGGACTCAGCACCATCGCACTCAGCACGCGCCATCCAAGAATGGTTAAGAAATGAGGTTCCTCGCTTCATTTCCACCGCACAATGGCCACCAAAATCTCCGGATGCCAATCCGTTGGACTATTGTGCCTGGGGTATTTTGGAAAGCAAGGTTGGAACTAAAAAATACCAAAGTGTCGATCATCTCAAGCAAGCGCTTCGCCGAGAATGGGACAAAATACCGCAGAGCCACTTTCGGGCCAAAGGTGGCCAATTCGAACAAATCTAAACCGATTCTCAAATTTGATGTTATTTCCGACATTTTTTGCTTTCATTCAATAAAATTTAAAAAAAATGAAAAAATTTATGGCGTTTTACTTTGTTGCAGTTTTTTCATCTCACCTTGTATTACATTTAATGGTACGCATTGCATGAGAATATCATCAGGGAATGTTTTTGTAATTTTTTATATATTATATTTAATGTCACGTATTGCATAAGAATATCATCACGATATAGTGTAATATTTTGTATGACAGCTACAGTAACGATACTTATATGGTTTGTGCCAGGTAGGGCACTAAAATTTAAGTTATCGTTGAGTATATGCCATCCTTAACGTATAATATACGGCGTTGCCTTTAGTACGGATTATGTTGTAGACAGTTAAATACTGAAACTGCCACCATCTCACAAAAACCTGTAACGTATTTTAGTTCTGATTGTATAATGTCATGGAAGACCAAGACACGGAATGTAAGGATTGGTTAATGAAATTAAAATAAAATTTTGCCCGAAAATTTTAAAGTATTATCAAAATATTATATAATGATATGATATATAGCATTCCTAAAAGGTAGTTCCGAAAAACATGTGTAAAAAACACAGCGATTAACCAATCATACATAAAAATGTAATTCCTTTATATATTTCAAAAGTAAATTGTAAGTGACATTTTAACGGCTCATGGAGGCATCGAGAATTGGATCCCTTGTGATATGACGTATTATACAAATAATAAGGTACTGCGCCCATGCATATATATGTATAAACTATACCTTATATTGTATCCGGAAACCAGGTTTTCGTTTTAATGATGTAGGATGGCTTTAATGCTTATACTTGTGATATCGGATATATATTTTAGAAATGGCGACCGCACAGTACGTGCGTTTTCTTATGAGAAACATAAAATATATATAATATATATATGTTTTATATATTATTAATAAAACTTAGACGATACTTTGTAGTTTAATAATAATTTGTAATAATAATATCTTTTACTAATAATGTACGTTAGTTTCTTATTTTTTAGTTAAAGTTCCTTGATCTAGAGATATATTATATATTTCACAATATTTTAACTAATCACTTACTTGTTGAAAGCGGTCCGCATTTTGCTTCATCTTTAAATGTACAGAACTTTTGTAAATCATCGAAGTATAAACCAGATGGACAACGATTTAGGTATGGGAATCCATCGACACACTGTAACAAAATAAAAAATTTTGAGTTAAAGCTCTTACACTTATATTGAAATGTGTTTTAAATTCGAAAAAATAATAATTTATATGAATATTCTAATTTTAATTTATTTACAATTTCTAATTTACAATTTTGTTAAAATTCAACAATTTTACCAAGTCTTTTCTTTCTTTAGTCGTAAATCTACAATTTTGCATACGTAGTTCTTAAAAATTCGTTTACAAGAACAATACATAGGTCCGCTTCTCGTCACCTTTAGAATTCAAAATGCCCTATTCGACATTAATTTGGATGCCACTTTCGTAATACATTTCGTAATTCTTGTTGTGAATAAAAAATTGTTGTTATCTTATCAATGATAGACTTTTGTTGTATTATTGATAAAAATAATATCATTTGTAAAATAATATTCTCTTGGATATTATATATCGAGATATTCTACAGATATTATATATCGCATATTATATATTTATATTATTTATAAATATTAATCGACAAATTTTTATATATAAAAATGGAAAAACTTATCGACTAACTTATCAAAAACCCACAGACAGAAATAAATAGACATGATACACAGACAGAGACCAAAAACAATGTTTCGGTTTATCGGTGGAGTCGCTTGAATAGGTTTATTGTTTTATCCTCATCTCAAGATATAGATGTACTAAGGTTTTGTGAATTATATTCAACATAGGATATGCTGGCAGCCAAACAGCCACGCATAGGTCATTAAGATCCATTACGATACCAGATCAGAGTTTTATTTTTACCGATAGTACGCATCACTTAGGATGCGCGTGGTATTAGCGAATTGTATTAAGAGTTTAATAGCAATCTCAAACACGAATCCAGTTTTATAAACTGACAGTTCCCAAGTATTTTTGTCGAGTTCTCGAGGGAGCCGAACAGTTACACAATAGAAACTTCAGAGTTACCTTGGCATCTGACTCGTTCGATTTGCTAAAAGCATCGCTGCGAACAAAGTTTAGTTACCTGTCAATACACCAATTATTGTTCTACAGTTCCTTCAGTTAATATATATTTAACCGACATAATCATGACTTCAATTGAACGATTTGCAGTGGTTTAAGTGGCGTGAAATGTATTAAATGGTAAGCCCTTGCTGACTTACATATCGGGAAGATGTTGGATGCTCTACAGCAATCTCGGTAACCGTTACATTGCAGTCAACAGTTTATCAAGTTACAGTTGCTTTTAATCTGTTGTATAGTTATTATGACAACAGTTTAAATAAAAGAATAAACCAGAGGATAGAATACTTAGATGAATGCAATTGCAGTCTGATTATTACCTATAAAAATTCGTGATAAAGCCTAAGCTTATGTTAAAATTAAAATTATTGGGATCAAAAACTATCAACTGAAATATGTTGATTAATCTATTCATTCCCTGTAACTAATAGTCAATATCTTTATATCATTCATATAATTATAAAAAGAAATATTATAAAAATATTTTTTATTATATTATTTTTCACATAAACATTATGATTCTAAATAGCACTAAAAGGAAATAATAACTGAGTAAATAACTTTCAAAAACTAATCATAATTATACTATAATATAATTATTCCTTTAAGTGGCAATTATGAATTATCTTTTAGTTTAAAATAAATATTTTAAAATGTTAAATTATGTCTTCTTAAGTCTTCTTCAAATTTGTTGATATCATAAATACGTACTAAATTGCAACAACATTAAGTACTTAAATTAATTAAAATACCTAAAAATAGTTTTCATTATTTTCTCTAGGAAAAGATAAAATTAAAAGTTTTAAATTCTTTGCTGCTGCAATACTGTGAGAAGGAACTTGTCTTCATTACCTGATAGAAACGCCGGCAAGTCGCTGGATCAGCATAGTTTCCATTTCCAATAGTCGAAGGACATTGGAACTCTTCCTTTTCCTTTTGAGCTGTAGAAATAAATAAGCAGTACATACTATAGAAAATATATATTTTTATTCGTCTTAAGTTAATTTTAGTATTTGGTGAATATACAATTTTAATTTGTTTGGAATTAATATTTTTTCTGCATATTTTTGCTTAGGTTTTTTCACTTGAAGTTCGCTCATTAACAAATTAATTAAAGTAAAAGTAATTAACTGAGCGAAAAAGTACCAGCAATCTAATTGCTTAAATGATTTGTTAATTACTGAGTTTGAAAGTTTGTTTCCCTTGGAGTTTTGAGTAAAGGATTAAATAAACTTTAACGAGCCACATCGATTAAAAGTTTCCGTATTACTCACTTTTTTTATTCCATTTCTGTGGCGATTTTTATGACGCTTAAGGAGTTTTAGTTTACATTTCTCTTCAATTTTTATAAAGATATAAAAATATTTTTCTAATATTTTTAAATTTTCTGTAAGAATTTAAAATCATTAAAGCGGAAAATATTTTGATAAAAGGTGTTCGCGAAATATTTATATATCAAACTTCTCAGAAAAATACAGATATCAATTAGTGGCTTATGGCGTTTTAACACCCATGATTTGAAGAATGGGTGTTAAAGATGCCATCACAATTTATTCTGTAATTAATTGTGATGGCAGTGGTAATATTTTATTTGATAATTTACAGCTGTTTATATCAGCTGTTTTTGTAATAATAGTCTTGAGTGTTAGCGGTCGTATAAAGCATTGTAAAACATTGTTCCGGTTTCCGAAAGCCAAAGTAACGCTTCGGGAAAAAAAGTGTTGAGATTAAAGTCACCAATGCTATTCTCGCTTTGCCTCAAAAGAAATCAAGGACTGTAGAATATTAATTAGTTCACCAATAGAATATTGTCTCTTATGGACTTGACGAAAAATGATAATTGTGGAAAGTGGGACTTCCTGAAACAAAGAAAACCTTGCTGTAAAAACTATTTGCATGCCCAACTACGTCTCAAAACGCTTTGATGTTTATCATAACCCATAGGAAACAGCTAAGCATGAAACTGTCAAGATCCTTAAATTCGAAAAAAAACACTCAAGTATTTCTAAATTGTTTTAAATTGTGTTTATTCATAGTGTTGATGTTTTTAATCTTATGACTTAATCTTAAATTTGATTTTATGGCAGAGTTGAAAAATAGTTAACAGATCTTCACCGCTCCAACAAATGAATCTTTAATCCTAAATCTTACTTGCCGACTTGATTTTTTATAAACAGATATCTGAGGGGTGTTAGACTGTAATAATTCTGATTTTTTTCTCATTCACGTAACTTGAAATAGTTAACTTGTATGTATTGAATATAAGTGATATATCTTCCTCAACTATTAGTAGAAGAATATCTATACAAATTTAATACATGCTTCTGTATATATACTAACACTACAATATTGGACCGATAACTGTGTTGCCATTTGATATGTTAGGAATATCGTTATTATATTGTAAAACTCTTTTTTAATGTTGACTGCTCGTAAATTTGATTTCTATTAAAATCCTTATATTAGTTCCCCTATTTTAACTCAAAAAAATATGCTCTAACCACATAGTAATTAAAATGACCTGATTATTTTATATATGAAAACCAACATGTGGTCGTGTAAGTATATTTTGACCTGAGATTTAGTTCAAATCTGGTTAAATCAACCAAATTTTTTTTCTGAGTATTCATATAATCTATGAAGTAGTTTTCTAAAACATTTCTAAGTGAGTCATTGTATACGGATAATATACTTGATACATCTAAAAAATAATCTTTCAGTGTGAAAAGTAATCCGAAAAGTAGATAAAAAATAGTGCAGTTTAGGATCAACAAGTAAAACAGCGGATAGTTCGTTGAACCATAAAGTTCCATATTGTATCCAGATAAGATTAATCCAATAATTTTATTCAGGTGTATCGAAAAAATTACATATTATTTATAATATGTAAAAATATATAAAAATAAATGTGTGAAAATGTATAATATAACATAGTATACACTGCGAATGTGATTAAATAAAAGTCAAAATATATTAAAATATTTTTAATAAAAAAAAATAAAAATGAGTTAAGCAACTATATATTTAGTACATTTAATTAAGTACATTTAATATTCACAAAATTACCGACTCTTGAATTTGTCTCTGGTGATAAATGGCAAAAATGCAGAAGGATTCTGATGATAATAAATTCGATTACAGTCCTAAGAAGCCATTTATTGTATTTGTTGCAACGGTTGCTGCTATTTATATCGGTAAAATATGCAATGGTTTAATTTAATGTTGGTCTTATAAATCTATTATATCTTCTGTATTATATAGTTCCCTATCTTTTGAGGAAAATCCATTTGATGTGAATATTAAAGTTACTGCTAACTATTATCTCAAATATTTGGAGAGCCGTGTGATGTTTTCGAGACGAGAAATAGAGAATATTACTTCTAATTGATATTATTGGATAATTGGACCTTACTTAGTGGTATTATGGTTTAAATTTACTTCTGCATTTTTAAAATAATCACAATGGGACAAATAATCTTAATTGTAATAGCAGAGTTTTATCGCTTTTCCGTCTTCAAAAACCGTTTCTGATAACAGTGAGAGAGCTGAAATTTATTTCTGACCAAGTACATGTACTTTTTATAATTAGCAGATATGTATATTTATTCAATAAAATCAAACATTTAACAATCCACAAAAAAATCAATTTGTTGAATTAAAATATAATTTCAATACAAAATAAAATACAACCCAATATATGTTGACTTGATAATAGCTGCGGGCCATAATAATTCGACATAATTGATGTTATTAAAGTGGCTTAAAAAGTTGGTTAAAAAATTTTTATTAGCCAAAATTTACAAAGTATTAATGATTAAAAAAATATGTGTTCGTCGATAAATAACTATATCGTTTCGCAATTGACAAAAAATGTTTAACCATTAATAATTGTGTAACGATGAAAACATGCATTGTGGAACTGTGATAAGGTTTGTTGAAAAAATTCGCATTAAAAACTGAGCTCATGAAATATGGAATAAAATGCAGCTCATAAAAAATTTATATCGAAACTGTGTATATTTTAATCAATTCTCTGCGATTCGTTTAGCATCGAACAGTGAAAAAGAATTTTCCCGGATTTTTTCGATTTCAAGCCACTCTTAACCGAAAAACAATGCCATTTTTTTAGATACAATCAATAGAAATGTTTCATTAATAAATAAATATAAATAAATTTAACATTTTAAACTTACATTTCTTATTTTAAAATAAATGCTTTAAGTGGTTTATAATTCAGAAGCCTATTAACAAATGTTAATCACGATTCTCTGGCAGGAAAAATATTCCTTAAGCTTAAAAAATGGTCACTTAAGTAAATTGCTTCAATTTGTGTCATGGATTTTTTATTTAGTTTAATTTGTTTGTTAAAAAAATTTTTCAAAAACATCAGGTTTATTAAAATTAGTAAGCTTGAAGACTAGCTTAAGTGAGCTTTAGTGCTGAGGCTGCAACACCAACCTTATCTACTTATAACCTAACTAACTTTACTAATCTAACCTAACCTAACTAAACTAAATAAGCTAACTAACCTTACTAACCTAACTTAACCTAACTTAACCTAACTAACCTAACTAGCCTAACCTAACTGACATAACCTAACTAATCTAACCTAACTACCCTAACCTAACCAAAATCACGAATAGTCCTGATTTGAATCAATAATAACGAGGATTGCTTCGCTTCTAGCTCACCTAGTTCTGTCAAAATTGCGCTCAAAAGTTCTGGTGTAGGTTTATAATTGATTGGGCTTGTAAATTAATATAAATGGACTCGCCGATTCACTTAGGGGAAATTTATGGAAAAGAATAGAAAACTTAGCAACAAAAAACTACTGGTTATGATCAGATCGAGTCCAGTATATAAGAGTGCCTTAATAAGAGCAATCAAAATATTATTGAGCAACTTATTGAGTCCCAACTTTATATTAAACCACATCCCAGCTCAGCTGAAGTATGCTGAGAAAATATTAGTTTTTTGTACTTCACTACTTCACCACATCTTTACTAAATAATTATAAATAAATAAATAATAAAAAGAAATGTATTTATTATATATTAATTTAATAGAAATAAATTTTATTTTTTTAATTTCTACTAATATAATGTTGTATTAGTTAGTATGCAGTAAAAATATTATTTTTTATTTTATTTCATGAAGAATCCAAGATCAGAATATCTTTAAAGATAAAGTGATTCAAAGAAACTGGTCCAGTAACACATAAATGTTTAATATATTAATTAAATAATAAACATTAAATGTTTATGAGAGAACACTCATATATTAATCCGTTTTATTTATTTATTTTTGTTGGTGCATAAAAGCAAATTGGGTCATGAAGGCTTTATGATAAATAAAAATATTTCCTACGTGCAAACATAGGTGGGTGTAAGATTTTAATTCTTCTGACACAACAGCTGGTTTTAAAGCAATTAAAAAAATCTATAAAATAATATTTAACGTAAAAAAACAATGATATTCAATGAAATTTTTATGTATATTTTTATTGTCTGCGGTATTTGCAACACTAAATGTTGAAAATGTTGCTGTGATATCCAAGTTCTTGAATATTGATAAAACTCTTCAATGAATATGATACGCTGGAGAGAAGTATTTCGTATTTAATTTTGTTTAATTAAAAAAGATATTATATTAATTAAAATTTATATCAATTCGTTTAAAATACAGTTCTATCTCATACTCATACTCAAATAAATATTATTTACAGCAGTTTCATTTGACAAAGATAAAAGTATCGTCATCATTTTCCTTATATTGCTTGTAGTTTAACAAAAGGATTTAAAGCAACCAATTAAATGTTTGTCGAAAACATTGTGTCCTTTGTCAAAAGCAGCGAAGAGTGTAAATATAATTGCTGTATTTTATTGCAATATATGGAAAATGAAAATAAATTACATACGAAGTTAACTGGGTTGATCTCACA